ATAATAATAATAATAATAATAATAATAATAATAATAATAATAATAATAATAATAATAATAATAATAATAATAATAATAATAATAATAATAATAATAATAATAATAATAATAATAATAATAATAATAATAATAATAATAATAATAATAATAATAATAATAATAATAATAATAATAATAATAATAATAATAATAATAATAATAATAATAATAATAATAATAATAATAATAATAATAATAATAATAATAATAATAATAATAATAATAATAATAATAATAATAATAATAATAATAATAATAATAATAATAATAATAATAATAAGCCATGAGCTATCTTACTTTTTTTGCTGCCACAGAATAAGCAGACCATAACTCTAGAAATTTGTCATTATGAAGTGCTGCATTATTATGGGAACATTGGATACCTTGCTCTGGAATAGCTTAACTGGATCAGATTTTTTTTTTTAAAAAAGGGAAAGGTAAGAAGGGGTAAAACTGCAGAGAGAAAAGTATTCTTACATTCATGAATACATATTCTTACATCCGTTTATACAATTCTAATGAAGATGGAAATCATACAAAGAAAAAAAACCATTATAACAATTTTCCATATTTATCATTACTAATCTTCCATTTTCTTGGACTCTTTCTTTTTATCTTTATGTTTGCCAGTTTTATAGGTTTAATATTATTCTGCCATCTTATATCTATTATTCTATATTGTTCTATTGCTAAAGCAGTTATAACCATTAATTTGTGTTTATTTTATCATATACTCTTTCACCACAAAATACCTTCCTAGATTTAACAACATTTATCTCCTCCATCTCCATATACTATCCTATATTTTGTGCCCCTATTAAGGTTAAATAACTGTTAATGCAGACATTTGAATCTGAATACAGCAGATATAGAAGACTGAAGAAACCACATATAGTCGCTCACTAGAGAATTATTATTATTATTATTATTATTATTATTATTATTATTATTATTATTATTATTATTATTATTATTATTATTATTATTATTATTATTATTATTATTATTATTATTATTATTATTATTATTATTATTATTATTATTATTATTATTATTATTATTATTATTATTATTATTATTATTATTATTATTATTATTATTATTATTATTATTATTATTATTATTATTATTATTATTATTATTATTATTATTATTATTATTATTATTATTATTATTATTATTATTATTATTATTATTATTATTATTATTAGTAGTAGTAGTAGTAGTAGTAGTAGTAGTAGTAGTAGTAGTGATTGATTGTTTTAATTTCTGATTAATTCTTAATTTGTTTATTTATTTTTTCATCTTATTTTGTGTTAAAAAAATTCAGAGATTTGAGAAGATTGGAATTTTTTTTAACAAAGCTTTTCTTGTGGAAAATCCGATGCGGTCCAGCCTCACCCAGACTCTGCCTCCAGCAACCCCCAGGTAAATTGAGTTTGAGACCCCTGACATAATTGTTTTAATTTCTGATTAATTCTTAATTTGTTTATTTATTTTTTCATCTTATTTTGTGTTAAAAAAATTCAGAGATTTGAGAAGATTGGAATTTTTTTTAACAAAGCTTTTCTTGTGGAAAATCCGATGCGGTCCAGCCTCACCCAGACTCTGCCTCCAGCAACCCCCAGGTAAATTGAGTTTGAGACCCCTGACATAAACCAATTGGGGAACACCTTAGTATGGATGAACTTGACCTTTGTCTCCAGTGACACATCCTTACAATGGATCTTGTCTACTTCCTTCAAAGTTGCTGTTCTGAATCTCAGTCTTCTTCTGCCTGCAGCCTCCATTTGGACAATGTCTGAACCAAGATATAGTTTTTAACTATTTTGATTTCTTCGTTGTCAACACTGAAGGTTAAAGAATTCTTCAGTCATGATTCATAGCTTCTTAATATTCACTTTAATTCTGCTTTTGCACTCTCTTCTTTCGTCTTAATTTTTTTCAATTCCTGTTTTCTGCCAGTAATATGGTATCATCTGTGCATTTAAAATTATCATTTGAATCTAATCCCACTTTCTATATTATATGTTCTGCTATAAACTAAGAATTAGGGATAAAAACATCCATATCTGACACCTTTGCCAATTAAAAACAATTTTGTGTCACACCAGCTTCTTGTTCACCATATAGGTTATTTACTGTAGATAATCAAATGATGTGGTCCATAGATCCTTTTGAATCTTTCCATGGATCCATGGGTCTTTCCATAGATCCTTCCATGTGGTCCTTTTTAGAATTATCCTTAACTTTTCATAAACCATACAGGCAAAAACATGGTGTGTAACCTATAAAGCAGAAGTGAATTTTCCTCTGAAAATTCTTTAGTATGCTTTTGTTGCTAATGTAGCCCCGTTGCTGGAGGTTTTCAAGAAAAAATTGGACAGCTATGAGGTCTCCTGCCTTGGGCGGGGGGTTGGACTAGAACAGTGGTTCGTAACCTTTGTTACTCGGATGCTTTTGAACTGCAGCTCCCAGAAACCCGAGTCAGGACAGCTGGTGGTGAAGGCTTCTGGGAGTTGCAGTCCAAAACTCCTGAGTAACCCAAGGTTAAGAACCAGTGGACTAGAAGACCTCCAAAGTCCCTTCCAACCCCATGACAATTCTATAATGTATACGAGGGACTGTAACTTCATTTCTAGTACCACTCTCTTTTCTGAATTAAAAATTAACATCTGCATCTCTTGTTATGTGCTAAGTCTCTATTGTAAAATCATGAACACTATCTCGCTTGCACGGAAACACAGTTCTCCTGTAGATACAGCAGTTTTGGCATCACCTTCCTTTGGGAACATATATTTAAGCTTTCCAGCCTCTGAGCCATTGTTTTGTTTTCCATATTCGTTGGCATACAGTATTCTTTTTGCAATTTCAATAGATTCAGGCTCTATAATTTTAAACAGCTTTGCTTTAATTTTTGATGCCATCAGTTCAAGGCATGTACAATCTATTTCTGGTCTTGTTTTGGCAGAGACAATAGTGCTTCTTTATATTCTGTTCCAAATTATATAACAATGTCTTAGAACTGCAGAGCTGGAAGGGACTCTATTTATCGAGTCCAGTGCCTGTCAAGGAGGCACAGTGGAGAATCAAACTCTGGCTCCACAGCCAGGTACCTAAACCACTGAGCTATCCAGTAGTTGTACAGTTGTGCAGTGCAAGTGATTTTTATAGTAGCTGTTTGATGATGTCCACATTTACAATTGTCTGCTCAGTTGCCTGAAGCATATATTTATTATAAACAAATTGGTGGCTTCACATAATTCTATGAGTTATTCTCCTGTATGATTTATAACACCTAGGCTGAATAATCTGATTATTTTATTCTGCTTTATTTTCTACCTTGATATTCAGTCACCTGTGATGTTGTGTTCCAGTCAGGCATGACTCTGCACATTCACTGTTGTTCCGTCATCAGTCTCATGCATGATATTTGTTTAAAACCTTCCAGCCTCCTCTTCTTCAGCATCTGTAGTTGGTAAATGGGTTTGGATGGTGGTTAGGTCGATAGGCTTTCGCTGAAACCTGAGTCAAAGAATTTAGTCTTTTGGATTGTAGTCCTAATTGCTTGTTCTGTATCCCACCTCACTGTTCTAGGCATACTGTCCAGAATCCTACTGGGTGTTACCTATTGATACAAATGTCTTTGCCAAAACTGTGCCAATAAATGACAAGTTGCTCTCATATTCCTGGTTATGCACCAGGTGTATGATTGACTTGTGACCAGGTATGTACGGAAGTGAGAGCTGGACCATAAAGAAAGCTGACCACTGAAGAATTGATTCTTTTGAATTGTGGTGCTGGAGGAGATGCTTGAGAGTCCCCTGGACTGCAAAGAGAACAAACCTATCCATTCTGAAGGAAATCAACCCTGAGTGCTCACTAGAAGGACAGATCCTGAAGCTGAGGCTCCAGTACTTCGGCCATCTCATGAGAAGACTCCCTGGAAAAGGCACTGATGTTGGGAAAGTGTGAAGGCAAGAGGAGAAGGGGATGACAGAGGATGAGATGGTTGGACAGATTCATGGAAGCTACCAACATGAATTTGACCCAACTGTGGGAGGCAGTGGAAGACAGGAGGTCCTGGCGTGCTCTGGTCCATGGGGTCACAAATAGCCGGACACGACTAAATGACAACAACAGTGTGAGCAGCAACTCATTAATTAGTAGCAATGCTGCTATAATTTATGCAGCTAGACATATGCCAATACTGTAGTAGAATTTCAGTAGAATTCCAGTCATCATTTCTTTTGGCTTTGTTATTTCCAAAACAAAACACTTCAGTTCTCTCACAACAGGTGTGTATTATTGTTTAAAATCTTCTTTTCTTGTTTTATGATTTTGAGCTTTCTTTGACATGCTTCTCAGAGTCTACTGTTTCCTTTGCTTTCACCCCTGTATTGGTACATTATAGTTAGTATTCTAGCTTTGTATGTTACTCTTCCTCGCTAGCTTTCGTTAGCGAGGGGAAAAAAACTGCGTCAAATATCCCCAGGAAGCAAACTTCCAACTATAGGAATTGCCACTCTATTTTTTCCAGTCTATTGCTCAACCCGAGGGGGATACACATATTCTCCCTAAATCCCTTCGCCATTTTGGAAACGGGTTCTTCTTTCATTGGTTGGGGATGAAGAAACCTAGGCAGGACGCATTTCGCCACCACCCCATGAGATTGACGGGTGTGTCCGCCGTAACCAATGACTGAGGCTCCCCCTAAAACATAGACACAAGAAAAAAATGAAGAAACTATCAACTTATTTAATGCATAATTCCTTCGTTCCTGTTTAACTTGTTTTTTTGTTCCCGTAGGTAGTTTTTCGCCTTATGTGCTCCAGAGCCCAAGCGGGACTAAATCAACCCGAAAATAGTGGTGGGGGCTCTCCCATGTCATGGGTAGTAGTCTATGGTTGGCGTCGGCGTCGCCGCTCTCGCCATTTTAACTGAGGGCGGGCTGCCGGTTGCTGAGCTGTCGTTACTGGCGCGGGCGTGGCTTGGCGCTGAAACCGGCCTGAAACCTGGGAAGAGAAGGGAAGCTTTTGAGG